ATAAGCAATATGGGTTTGTTGTTTTCTTTTTGTTTGCGAAAAGCATCACTAGAAGTACGTCCTTAAGATCAAGTTTAATTAGCAGTCATGATTACTTCATTAGCTAACCATTCTAGGTAAGCTCCTGTTCTACTTTCAAGTAAGGGTTAAGCAATCAGAACTAATTTACAACCTTTCATATTTCAGTTCTTACTATGGTGCTAGACCATAGCCAAGTCGTACTGTCTCACGGAAACCGTCTTACTACGACAGGTTACTCACGCTACCGATGACCTAAGCATAGCATCTACTTGAACTTGTACTAGTAAGACTCTTAGGACAGGTGTATTTATGCATGTGGTTTCTATAAAATTCCTGTAACACAAATGCACAACACACACACATATATATATACGGTGAATTATAAAATAGAGGTTATGCATCGAGGCTTGTCTTGGGCAGGCGTGGTGTCAGCTGAGTCAGTCAGTAGTGGCTCCGGGACCTCCTCCTATACGAGAATCACCTCCTCGTACTCCTCGAACTCATGATCGCTGGTGGTCACGATCTCTGCCAACTCATTCTCTACATGCATACGATGATGATGCAACACTTAGCATTCAGGCAACATCAACTCTTAAACTAAGAATGCGCATACCAAGCTACTAAACTAGCTCTGATGACTAAGATACTAAGCTAACTATCATCTTCATCAAGCAAGGTGTTGGATTCAACTAACAAACACTCAGTTTTGCAATTTAAGGGTATATCTTTATTTCTACTAATGATTTAATGTATATTAAAACAAAGAGCATTTAACTACCCTAATGCTTAGTCTATTATAAGGATACAAAAATTACAGTGGGCACATAATAATACAATGAAGCTACTATAAAATTTTTAGGACTAAAGCTATCACCAATTTACCACAAAAATTCCTACAATAATTAACTTAATATTATTAACCATCCTCAAACGATTTAATAGCTCCTAATGTCAACACGTATAAACATGAAATAAATACACCAAACGATAGAGCATAATTTTAGGAACCTAAGAAAATTTGTTTCATAATTTTTGGATACCTACATGATTTTATATGATTTACCAAAGATCAGCTCAAAAATTAAATTAGAAAACCATTGCTAATTCCTTATGAAAAAAGAAAACTAAATTTCTCGCGCGGCCCACACGTGTGGCCCGCGCGACACAGCGTGCGCGCAGCGGCCCGCTAGCGCAGCCCACGCGAGGTCAGCCCGCTCGCGAGGCGGCCCGTGGCGGGGTAGTCGCGCGCACGTTGATGATTTTGCAAAAGAGACCTCGAACTCCTCTCAATTTACAACTAAGTACTAACACTATTTTCTCCTCTCTCAGACCTTCTCACTTAACCCCTTGGCTTTTCCCTAATTCACCCGCGCGCACCCTAGTGACTTAGCGCACGGCAGCGCGGCGGCCGATGACACGGCACGACCATGCCGGCCACTAGAGGCTCGCGCTGGCCCATCGGTCGAGCCGACCTTCAACTACGGTCCAACCGCCTACACCAAGCAGCAACGTGGGGCGGCAGGAGGCGCTGGAGTGAGCTGCAACAACGCGTGGCCGTCCGCGGTGACGACGCAGCTATCCCAGTGATCCAGAGCACCTAAGAACCCAACTGGCTAGCGAGGGAGCATTAGTAGACTACCGTGGACCTAGCCGAGGTGACAGTTGGGGTGGAGGATGGCGGAGGAGGTGTGGCCACCTGTGGCCGAGCCGTGCAGCGGCACACCGCGGTGGCGCAGTCGCGTCAGCGGCGACGGAGAGGCGGTAGTGGTTCCACTTGCATGCGCAAGGTGGAGAGGGAGGCAAGGCGAAACTAGTGGTGCAGGTGAATTGGCTCGGGGTGGACTGATGGAGAGCTGCCTTCGGCCATGGCCGAGCATAGCCTTAATGGCACGGCGGCGGGAAACATGCCAAATTGGAGCTCGACCGGGCGCCATTCAAGGCAGGGTGGGGTCGAGCAGCAAGAGGACTTGATGGCGGAGACACAGGCGCGCGAAATCAAAAGGAGATGACCACTCGCAGGTCAAATTGCGTGGGGCGCGACTCCGACGGTGGCAGCAGAGAGAGAGAGACGGGTCGGTAGGTGGCACCGCATGGCCTCGCCTTGGCGGGACGTGCTCGGTGCGACCGGAAAGGCATGTGCGTAGACGCAAAGGACAAGCGCCCGCGTCCCCGACCGTCCATGGCTCATGCGGCGCAGCGCCATAAATGGCAAGGCGACGGCGAGACCGTCCATGGCAGTGGCGGCATTGAACTGGGCCGGCAGCGGCGCAGAGGTGCAAAGGGAGGCACAGACGTGACGGTGAGGCGCCGGCATTGGCAGCGACTGCGTCGCGGCGTGGGGCGGGTCGGTAGTGCGGCAGCACGGCGGGACAGCCAGCAGCACCGCACGGCCATGCAAGCTGCGGTGGCGGCTTCTAGCGGTAGAGGCCAGTGGCGACCAGGCCAAAGGCAGCCGCGGTCGGCCGCGCGCGGCAGCGCGCATGCGCGAGTGACCAGCGCGGCGACGACGTGCGCCCGAGTGTGGTGACCGCGTCCACCCGGCCAACCAACCCAAGAACGTGTCATGCACATATTTTAGAGCACCTATAACAACTAAACGGTTGCTTCTGGACCTAAACCATCTTCACCATATTTAAGATGGCATATGAGGCTACCAAATCGAGCTAAAACATAACACATATTCTTAACCCAATTTCGCAAAATAAATTGTCAAACATGACATTGTCTAGCTGTCTATATACTTAAAGATCTTCTAAGTCTATGAGCTGAATTTGATTCCAAGTTGCATTTCTAGGCTATTTGAAATGTTGGCTAGCAATATTATTTTTCTACAACAAGTATTTTGTTGTCATCTATAAAGTTCATATTCCAAACTTTATTTAAGCGCCACATATATGTTTTATAGTATTTTTGTTCAATAAAAATTAGTTTTAAACCCTACTTGATACATATGAGTTATGGAATAGCTTATCATTTAACATTTTTATTGATCATCTGAAGTTACAAAAATGTTATCTACACCTTCCATCATATGCATTATCACGTAAACATGATGTTCATGACACCGTCCCAGAGTAATTGTACATCTCGTATCTCGAGGAGTCAACCAATTTTAAGTTTGACTAGATTTAATTTTATAGAAAAATAGTATTGGTATTTGTATCTCTAGATAGGTTTACATTAAAATATATGACATGATTAATATGATGATGTTTATTTGGTATTATAAACATTAGTATATTTTTGTGTATATTTGATCAAATTTGATCTTGATTCATTCCTGAGGACGTGAGATAAGCACTTTTTTTTGAACGAGGGAGTACTTTCCAGAGATAAAAAAAGAACCATTATTGAAGTGTATTTTTTCACCTAACAGCTTGTTTGTCTGCACTTTAATTCATCCAAATTCATATATATTAGGATTGGATTATTAAGATACAGAGTAGAAAATTAACTAGTCTTCATTCAATCAACCCTAGTACATTTGAATTGAGTTGAATTGAAGTGGATTATTTTCATTCAATCAACCCTAGTACTCCCTCCGTCCAGAAAAACATGCAATTCTAGCACAGTACTATGTTTTAGTATATTATGTTTGACCAATTATAGATAAAAAAATTATAAATATTTATAACATCAAATAAATATTATTAGATCAAATATGAAATATATTTTTATAATAAATTAATTTAGAGTTATAAATATGAATATTAGTCACTGAAAACTTGGTTATACGTGAATAATTTTATCTGACACGCAACCCATAGTTGCATGTTTTTCTGGATGGAGGGAAGACATTTGAATTGAGTTGAATTGAAGTGGATTAATTGGACGGTTGCAGGCCAACCGACTACACATCAACTCATATCACAATCCATACTTGTCTATCTAAGGGCATGTACAACGGACAGGCAGCTGCTGTCTGTAAGTTTTTGGGATTTACAATATAGACGGCTAAATATATAGCTCATACAACACACAGACAGTTGCTGTCTATTTGGCTATCTACAAATCATTTAATGCTTGCATGTAGCCATGATCAATTATGAATATCATTTCTATGTACCATTGTGTGTACCATTGTGTTGCTAATTGATACAAAATAAATCCTTCAAAGTAAATCATATATATTATATATATAAAGTAAATCACATCTTGGCATGTTTAATTAGTTCACACCCAAAAGGTAAGAATCAAAATCAATTGAACACATGCAGGTAACTGACAAAAGTGCGTTCAGTTATCAGTTTTCAGAAGCTGAATAGAAACATTCAGTTTCCATGGGCTTGCCGCCTGCAAGGCTCACCTCCGCCATGATGACCCTGCTCGCGCTGGACGTGCTTGCCTCATCGGGATGTGCCCTGCTCGCTCTACCCCGCCGCGCGGCCTAGCTCTTCCTCACCGGCTTAGCCCAACTCTTCCTCGCTGGTGCGGTCGTGGTCCGCCATGCCCTCGTCCTCGCCGTGCGGCTCTGCTCTGCTCGCCCCGTCCCAGTGCCGGTGCCCTGCTCGCCCCGCGACTGCCCCGGTGCTAGCTCTGCCTGCTCATTGCTGGTCCTCTGCGCTTGCGCCGGTGAGGATGAAGGGAAGAAGAAGACGGCTTCGATTTTTGGCGCGATTCTTTCACCTCGCGGCTGCAACTGGATCCGCACGGCGTCGACTCAAGGCGACTCCGTACAACGCAAATCCTGCCGTCGAGTCCGCCTGGGAGCACGAGCCCTCGCTGTCGTCTCATGATGTGATGGCTTCGTTCTTTGTCTAGCGAACTGGGGGGGGATTTTGCAAAATTACCGCTCAGAGACGACGGCCAGCACGCTCGCTGTACGTGCCCTAAAAGGTTACAATAACAGTTCTGGCCGTCGTTACGACTCGGATAATCATTCCTCGCCGTTCCTCGGTTCTCCCCCGAGTTCGGCTATTCCTCGTCGTCTACCTCTTTCGCCTCCTTTGCTTCTAGCATCCAACCGACAATGCAGGTGCATGGCGTTGGTTGCTGGCGGCGGTATCGACAAGCCCCTCCCCGCCGTGCTCCTCAGCCAGCTGCTCCCGCCGGTTCATGGCATCCGCATCGCTGCGTCGTACTCCAGCGACGATGACGAGCGTGCGCCCCTCATCCCCATGGGCACGCCGGCTTCCTCCACCTCCGCCTCCTTCTACCCAGTGCCGACCACCAGTTTCCCGGGGGCGACGGGCACGCCGGCTTCCTCCACCTCTGCCTCCTCCGGCCCGGTGCCGACCACCAGTTTCCCGGGGGCGACAGCAGCAAAGCGGTGGAGGGCGTTCAGGCGCGTAGGCGACATGTTCGACACATGGACCAAGTAGGGGCACGAGGAACCATACGCCGACATTGACATTGAGATGGCATTTCCTCCTGCCAACTTTCCCAACCCGGCCTCCTCGATGGTAAAAGCCAATCACTACGGGAGGCGCGCTCTTTGCCGAGTGCTCGGCGCTTTGCCGAGTGTCGAAACACAGGCACTCGGCAAAGAGACAGTTTGCCAACTGCCGCACACGGTAAAGCCGGCACTCGGCAAAGGCCGTCTTTGCCGAGTGCCAAACACTCGACAAAGACACTCGGCGAAGAATAACCCTCGGCAAAATACCTCAGGCGACGCCGGTGGTGGTCCCTCCATCATCCTTTGCCGAGTGCTGGCCGTTAGCACTCGGCAAACGTTCTGTCTTTGCCGAGTGTCTGTCCTGGCACTCGGCAAAGAGGTTCCTTTGCCGAGTGCCAATTCCGACACTCGGCAAAGTATTTTTATTTTATTTATTTATTTTTTTCAAATTTTTTCTGTGGCATTTATACAATACCTTGAAGCACATGTTCCAATTTGGAACTTTTCTATGACTTTTTGGTATATTTTTTAAATTTTTTATGTTTACTTGAATTTTTCTTGAAAAGGTAAATTTGAACTGCAGGTGCATGAAATATTGGAATTTAGCGATTCAAAAAATGGTATTCATGTTTTTGAGTGTATTTTCAGGCCGTGTGGAGAGACATTCGTGAAATTTCGAACATCTGTTTCACGAAACATGACCACCAACTTGTTAAAAAAGTGTTTTTTAATTATACAAAATACAAACGAAGTCCAAAAATCACGAAACTTGTCGAGATGTCGTGTCATCGCATGTAGAGGCTGTGGTAAAAAATTTAGAAGTTTCCGAGCAAGTTGTGATGTACGATGCCTAAAACCCAGACATCTGTGTATGTTTCGAAATTTCATGAATGTCCCTACACACGGCCTCAAAATACACTAAAAACATAAATACCATTTTTTGAATCGCTAAATTCCAATATTTCATGCACCTGCAGTTCAAATTTACTTTTTCGAGAAAAATTCAAGTAAACATAAAAAATTTAAAAAATATACCAAAAAGTCATAGAAAAGTTCCAAATTGGAACATGTGCTTCAAGGTACTGTATAAATGCCACAGAAAAAATTTGAAAACAAAAATAAAAAAAATAAAAAATATTTTGCCGAGTGTCGGAATTGGCACTCGGCAAAGGAACCTCTTTCCCGAGTGCCAGGCTTGCAGCACTCGACAAAAAATATTCAGAAATTTTTTTCAACTCTCGGATTAAAAGAAACCCTGAATTTCTTTGCCGAGTGCCCGCATCTCGGCACTCGACAAAGGACCGCCCCACTTAACCCTACCGGGCCGGTCGGCCCGCTCCCACTCTCCCACTCTCCCTCTCTGCACAGCCATGCGCCGCCCCGGCCCCGCCTCGCTGCCGTGGACCACCGGCGCCGCCGGACCTCCGCCGTGGCCGGCCCGCGCCCGGGTCTGCCCTCCCCGGCCGGTGGTGCGCCGCCCCGCCCCGGCCCCGCCCCACCGCCGCAGCCGGCCCCGCCCCGGCCCCACTCTTCCATCGGACGCGGACCCGCTGGTGGTGCCCTGCCCCGGCTGCCCCCCGCCCCTGAACCGCCGGAGTGGAGGAGAGGAGGAGCAGGGGAGTAGAGGAGAGAAGGGAGGTGGAGGAGAGGAGAAGGGAGAAGGAAGAAGGAGAAGGGAGGAGGAAGGGGAAGGGAGGAGGAGGAGCCTCGGCCGCCGGCCACGCCCCTCTCCATTCGTCCCCATCGTCGTCCTCGCCCCTCGCTGGAGACGAAGGTGACCCCGGCACCGCGTCGCCCGACTCCACGGCCACCCAAGGTATAAAGCCCCCCCCGGTTGTCAGCCTTCGTGCCTTGTATGTCATTGACGGCCTTCGTGCCGTATGTGGATGTGTGGGCCTTCATGCCGTACGTGGATCTGTGGGCCTTCGTGCCGTATATATGCTGGCGGCCATCGTGCCGCTTTTTTCTTGCAGGTTTTGGAAACCTCCCCGTATAGGGGAGATTCTACCAAAAATTTTAACTTATAGTATTATAATTCTTCTTGTGCAGAGTAGGACCCGTCGGAGGGGACCCGAAGTACGTAGGCGACCCCGATCGTCTTCGTCGGCGCTGCGGTCCTACCTGCACAGCGTCGCCTCGCCACTGCCCCGCTAGCCTGACTCCACCGCCACCCTAGGTATAAATAACCTCTCTTCCTTATCGTTGTCATAGATCGGTGTAACCCAGTTAGGCGTCTCCCATTCGAAACAGATACGGTTGGAGGTATGCGGATCTTCGGATATCTAAGACCGTATCTGTTTCAGATTGTCCACTTTTTTGGACAGCCCGCGGATGCGTAGATGGGGTATTTTCCATGTTTTGCTTCGATCTAAGATAGAGTTTCGGCACCACCTCCCTATTGTTCTCCGGATACACACTCTCCCTTCCAGGACGTGTATCAGGAGAACAGCGGGGAGGTGTTGCCGAAATTATGTCTCGGATCAGAGTAGAGCATATAAACTAACCTCATCTACGCATCCGTGGGTGGGATTAGGACCTATCCTCACCCATTAGACAGTAGGCACGTCGTTCAGATGCAATTGGTGGTTATATTACTCACTCATGTATATGGTAGAGGATGGATAACCGTGAGTGGATGTACACAGGCTGCCCAAGTTAGGCTGAAATCACCCCTGAATGGATGGACAAGACCAAGGGTTTGTTGAACCAAGCATTTGGCAAGGCAGCTAATGGAGCGAGAGACACATTCTGTCCCTATAGCGAATGCGGAAACAGGAAAAGAAAAACAAGAAAGATCATGGGGGAACATCTTTGCAAGTATGGATTTACGCCAAACTATACCCGGTGGGTGTTCCATGGTGAAGCTCATCGTACTAGAGAGGAGGTGGTGAGACCATGCTTGGAGGCGTTTGATGCTTATGGGGGGGTAGCAGGATGGTTAGGTGACTTTCACGAAGCAACGTTTGCTGAAAGACCTACAGAGGAGGAGGAGGAGGAGAAGGAGGATGAGGAGGAGCCAGAGCCAACCGGAAAGGCGTTCTACCAAATGTTGTCTTCGGCATAGAAGCTCCTACACGAGAAGGCAACGGTTTCTCAACTGGATGCCATTGGACGCCTAATGGGGTTGAAGTCCCAGTACAACATGAGTCGAGCCTACTTCGATGGTATGTTGGCAGTTATTGGTGGGCTGCTTTCGGAGGGTCATATTCTACCGAGCACCTTCTACGAGTCACAGAGACTTCTTTGTGCACTTAAGATGCCGTATGAGCAGATACATTGTTGTTCGAAGGGGTGCGTCCTATTTAGGAAAGATCACAAGGATGCAAAGTACTGTCCAAAGTGTAAATCCTCTAGGTATATGGAGGTAGACAAAGGTGATGGCCAGAAGGAGCAGCTTGAGATCCCCATGAAAGTCCTACGGCACCTTCCGATCATACCGAGGCTCCAATGGCTATTCATGACCGAGGAGTCCGCGAAACATACGACATGGCACAAGAATGACATTCGATACAATCCTGACAAGATGGTACATCCAGCTGATGGTGAAGCATGGAAAAGCTTTAATCGCAAGCATCGTGACAAAGATCTTGAGGCCCATAATGTACGTGTTGAGCTGGCAACGGATGGGTTCAATCCTTATGGAATAATGTCGGCCCCATACACTTGTTGGCCTGTGTTCGCTATCCCCCTCAATCTCCCCCCGAGGTCCTCCTTCAACGGCAAAACATATTCTTGACGTTGATAATTCCTGGACACTCGGGAAACAAAATGGGTGTGTACATGGAGCCTGTCTATGATGAAGTGATCAGTGCTTGGAATGAAGGGGTATGGACTTACGACCGAGCTACAAAGAAAAACTTCAAAATGTATGTTTGGTACCAGTACTCTATGCATGACTTCCTGGCGTATGGGATATTCAGCGCCTGGTGTGTCCACAGGAAGTTCCCATGCCCGGTATGCAAGACAACTCTGGAGTTCATTTGGTTGAAGAAGGGTGGCAAGTTTTCATCGTTCGACAAGCATCAACAGTTCCTCCCTCTTAACCATGCATTCAGACAAGACACCAAGAACTTCACGAAAGGTGTCAAGGTGACCGACCCTAAACCTCAGAAGATGACTGGTGCCTAGGTTCATGCTCAAATAGATGCTCTCGTGGTCAATCCACAAAAAGATAGTCGAAAGAAAGATAATCCAAAGAAAGATTGCTTTGTGGGATAGTTGAAGAAATATACGAGCTCGACTACCGTGGTTCCAAAGCACTTAATCCTGTCATATTCAAATGCCAGTGGTTTGATCCTGCAGTATCGAGAAAGTCCCATCAACTTGGGATAGTCGAAACTCGACAGGATTCCTTCTATCCAGGAGAAGATGTCTATATTGTGGCTCAACAAGCCACACAAGTTTATTATTGTCCATATGCTTGCAAAACCGACCCACATCTTTAGGGTTGGTATATTGTGCACAAGGTATCACCACACGGTAGATTACCTCACCCAAACCCTGATGATTACAACTTGAACCCAAACACGCATGACGGAGAGTTCTATCAACAAGAAGAGGGGCTACCAGAGATGCTTGAGATAGACTTAACCGGAGAGATCGAAATGGAAGCAGACGAGGAATGGGTTGTTGACGAGGACGCTGCAAATGAGGTGCATGATCCAAAGGACTTGGAAATGCTTGACGGACTATGACTAGGCAATGACAACGATGAGGATGAGGCTGTTGAGGATTTGGACAATCTTGATAGTGATGACGATACCTATCGTCCAGATAATCCCGATCATAAAGAATATTAGAAATACATGTAATACTATGTTATTTTGTAATTACATTTTCTTTATTTTGCATCTCTTACTAAGTACGTCTTGTTTATCTATGCTTACTGGTTTACTCTTTTTAATTGCAGGTGATGGGGCCCACTAGGAGGAGCTGCCCCTCGGTTTATGCCAACTGGAGGGACATGGCGACGGCTGCGGAGGCAGA